GCCTTGAGCTGGTGTAGGTATCATGTGTGTCACTTTGTAGATTGACAATTATGGGCTCATTTTTGTGTTCCAGTAGATTTGTCTGACTGATTTGCGCTGTTTAAGAGTGGAAGGAAATGTTAGAAATATTTTTGGATACGGCATTCTTAGAAAGAAAATGTGCCCTAGTGTTTCCCCCCTGCCCCCAAAAGTATCTGGTCATTTTGTGATGGAAGCCCAGATTCTGAAAACAATTCAACATGTGAATAACTCCATTGACTGCCAGGTAATTGCTTCAGATACTTTAAGTTAAACATGTCGATGAACTTCTACAGGAAGAGGGATTAAGTGTTTTCTAGCATGGAAGTTGAGTGCTCCACACTAGAGCTCAGCAGGACTGGCCATGGGGCAAATACGTGGTCAGGATTTTTGCCTGTGAAAAGACACAACAAAACTGTTCTTCTTCATTGGTATTTGTCATTAAATTCTCTAGCTGAAGAAAATAAATTTATTTCAGGAGATTTAAGACCTCAGAAGTGCTCACGCTTTTATTCTAGTTTCTCATAGATTGGTGGAGAATTTAGGGAGAAAAAAAAAAAATATCCCTGACTAGGTATCTGAACATAGTATGTTTTATTTTTATGAGCATGTATCTTTTTGCCAGTACAGTTCTCTTGATATATAACTACATATCTCTCTCTCTGTCTCTCTCTAATAGGTCACATGTTCATGACAATCCATAGAAACTTCTTGGAAATTATGATATACGACATTGCTGTTATAAAAATGAGGGTTTAGCTGCTGTTGTCCTGCATGGGCAAAACTCCACATTTAAAAAAATGGAACAATTGCAGACTGATTTCCTAATTTCTCCAAATGGCCTATTCGTTTTCTGTATTGCTTGTTTTGAACCCATTGTGCTAAAGTTTATTGCCTTGGGCCTGCAAGCACTTACCAGCGGCAATACTACTAATTATTCTAGTTCTTGTAAATGAAGGGAATTACTTACGCCCACTTCAACTTATGCTCAATTTTTGTGGCTTGTACTACTTGTGTGTATTACCATCTGTAAGATAATTAAAATCCTGTTTTGTCTTCTGTGTCTCAGATGGTACAAATAGACATAATTTTGTTTATTTCTGTGTCCGTTTGCATAATGCTTCAATTAAAACACAGACTAGGCAGGGTTAAAGCAGATGTATGCTTCAGAATCTGCTGTCAGCAGGTGTAAAGGTACTGAAATAGAAATGCAATGTAGGAAAATGTTGCTGTTACAGTTTCTTTGCATGCACATGGCAGTGTAGATGGGAATTTTATATGATAATCATGATTTGAAGAGAGGATGCTGAAAGCGTTCATTTTTTAACGTTTCTTTTCTTCAGTCAAGGCACGTATTACTGACCAAGAAGACTGTATCAGCCAATTCTCTGGAACAACAGATCCTCTCACTGGAAAGACAGAGGCGAGAGGTAGTCTTAAGTTTACTCTTAACCTTTACAGATATAACCTCTAGGACAGACATTACATCAGTAATATGCCCGGGGCAGGTAATCACTGAATGTGTTATCACTGTTACTTACACTGTGTTTATGCTGCAGTTGGTTTTACCTGCCAGTCCAGCGAGGCCTATGTTTTTACTGTGGGACTCTCATCCTGCACTCTTGTGAGAATTTCTATGTGGAGACTTTCTGCTTTGCATTTCTTCACAGCCCGAAGTGTGCAAGCACTTAAAATTTTGTTTAAACTAGTTCCTATAGTCCTACTTCTCTCTACCAAGCTAGGCAGAGTTATATTTGGAGAACTGTTCCTAAAAACAAATGATGACTTATTGTAATGCGGCTGTGAATCTAGAAGAGCAGAGATTTATATGGTACAAAGGGCAAATTTTCTTAATGATCACTATTGTAAAGGCCAAGGAACCACCATGAGTAGTAGCCGGAGGTGTCTTAGTCACAGGTAGCAGCAAACTGGAAGCTGTTCTTTTGCTGAGCATCCTAAAGAGTGACCGTATACCCTACAAAGCAAAATGCGTCAGAGGGACCTATTTGGCTTTCTCCAATAAAAATGCATGCACACTGACTTCACTCCTACCACTTACATGTGTGGTGTTAGCCAGTCTTCCCGTCTTGCATGTGTACGCTTGCTCAGTTTAGTGGTACTGAGAAAGGCAAGTGGAGTTTGCACCCAGTAGTAATTGCAGTCAATAGGAGTCTTCAATTCACTCGTTTGAAGTCAGAGACCTTCTAATTGGAAATATGTTTATGGAACTTAAAGCAAACTAACAAGAAAGTCCTTGGCCATTTAGGAGTTGCAGCTTGGGATTTGTACAGCATTGCAAATGATTCACCTGTAGCTTATTGTGTATTTGCATGCTTCCTGAACGTTACTTCCTGAACGTTCATGTACTTTAACTGAAATACCAAAGCACTGGCAGATGGGCCATAAAGCTTGCCAAACCTTAAACTTGCTTTTTCTGAAATGAGCTGGCCAGATAATGAGGAGGTTGTGAACACTCATAGCTGGAGGGTTAGAATGCCAATTTTTTTTTTTTATTTATTGCCAATGTTGAAATAAGAGTTATTTACTGTGACTTCCTGATAATTACAGCTTCTGGAGGTGAACAAGCAATGGGATCATCAATTTAGAAATATGAAACAGCTTTATGAAAAACAGGTAACAATGTTGACTACTTCTATTGGAATATTTATACCACCTGCTCATAGCTAAGTCTGTGCTTAAATACCAACCAGCCATAGCTATAGTAAATATCTTAGGGGGGAAAGACATCATGTTTACTTTGTCTTTAGCTGACAAATTACAAAAGCTTCATCACATAAAAATGAAGCTAATGTGTGTACAGTCTTCAGTAGGACAAAATAACCAGAGAAGCAGGGCATCTCTAAAATAGAAGGGACCAGGGTGGACATGACTGCAGAGATCTTCATGGCCTCCACAAGGTAGTAAAAATTGCTCATACTTCAGAGCACAATTAACTGAAAATTAGCCTGCAGTGCCTGGTGTGCCCAGCCACTGACCTGCATCATCACATATCTGTTGGTTCTTGTCCCATCTCTTATGGCTGTCTTCTGAAGCCTGGAAGCTCAGTGGGGCTTCCTGTGATGGGGGAGCTCTCAGATAAATCCTCCATGAATGCTGCCTTCTATAAGCAGAGAGACTTTTTTCCTTTCAAGAAACCGCTCTGTACAAAAGCTCTTCATTAAAAAAATAAATAAACAAATACTTTTTATTTCCTTTTTTTTTTTTTTGTCAAGATCTTGTTGGCATAGCTTTCCTTCCTTGCTTGTGGCTGTGTGGCATCTTTGCTGCAGACATTATAATCAGCTGCCTAATGAAGCTGGCTGCTTACAATTTTGCCAGGTATTCCAAAAACCAAGTTGTTCATTGACTGACACTTCTCATCTCCTGTTTCCTTCTGTGGAAAGGAAGTTTGCAGAATGACCTCATGTGCTTATCAGGAAAATTTTCTCTTTAATATTTTCCAGTAAGTTTTACTGAGATCTGGATCATTTCTTTCTTTTTTTTTTTTTTTTCTTTCCCCAAAGAGAAGAGGAATTTAAATGGCTCTTCCTCATTTAATATGGGACCGTTTTATGCCTCTGGCTAGATCATTTGGATGTGCACCCCTACAGAGGGAGTCCAAACTGCAAAAGGAAAAAAAAAAGAATATTAAAATGGAAAATTCATTTGGAGAGACAGACCCATGGTAGTTGTCCTTCGGCAGCAAAACAGTGTGAGACCCAACTGGGTTAACACCAACAGAGAATTTGCCCAGGATCATTAAGAGTCTCCACTGCAGGCAGAGCAGCAGAGCTTGGAGGTGGGGAGGGGAAAGTCCGTGGCTGGGGACTTTACACGCAACCAGATCCACTCCTTCACACCGATCTGCTGAGAGCTGAAAGGATTTGAAGGCACCTTCGAGGTGCTGTGCCTTTCAGGATCCCCAGTCAGCCCACCATGGTCTGTCACTTGCTTTTCAGCTGGCAGAAATGAAAGCAAAACTGGACGTGTCAGAGAGGAGAGTTAGCGAGCTGGAGGAAGAGAGACATCAACAGCATCCAGAAGATGAGAGGTTGCGAGCCCTGGGCAGAGAGAGGCCGTTGCAGGAAACGGTAGGAGGGTGCACTCTGTTACCCTGTTTGTGCTCAGTGTGGAATGCTGTCTTGCCTTTCCCCTTTCTCTTCTTGCAAGAGGCAGGGCGTGGGTTGTTGCACAGCCGTGATGTGAGATTGTGGTGTTGAGTGCTCTTCAGTATTGTACCCAAGACAATGGCTGATCTTCTGTCTGATCAGAGAACTATGTATAGCGAGAGAGTCATTTCAATACAAATTGGCAGAGAGCATGGCCTTAGTGTGCGTGGGAGAGTAAAGAGCAGATTGATATGAATACTGCAGAGATTTCTGTCCTTGCTGTTCAGTTCGGGGTGAATTGCTTTAATTCCTTTGAACAAAAATGCTACAGTGATTTCAAATGGAATAGGAACGTCATTGCAGATGTTAGATGAAGTGCTTGGCAATAAATACTTGAAGGAGTGAAGTCAGCTCCAAACATCCACATTTTGGTAGTGACAATATAGGCTTTTATACGTGTGCTAGCGCTCTCAGCTCCCCGTAAATATTAGTGATGTAGTCAGTGCAGTTATTAGGGCTGAAAGTGCCTGGGCTGATCAGCCACTCTAGAGCGGCATTCACCTCGCCCTGAGAGTGGTTGGGCACCTCTATCAGGACTGCTTAGGCACTGACTCGTGTAGGCATTCACATCTAAAGCTAGATCCCTAAGCTGAATTCCCACCACAGTAAAACCACCAACCTGAGTGATTGGCATATATATGCCCAACATATACACAAAACTTTGTGCCCCGTTCTACAAGCACCACAGAGTGGTGCTTCCTGTTCTCATTCTGCTTCATGGTATCACACACTTTGTAATCTCTTCTAAGTTTCTGGATGGTGCTCTGATGGCTGAAGTCGGGCTTCTCTATCTGCTTAATAACATGAAACAAACTTGAAAACAAGTGGCAATCATAATTTTCAGGCTCAGGTAAGATGTAAGTTAGCTGATGCAGGAGAAGAAATGCAAAGCCCTTAGCTTTTATCTTCATAAGCAGAACATTCATCTTACTTGCTTATCAATTATGGTATGGTCTTAGCTAAGCCCGTGCTTGATTTCCAGCCAATAAGACTGTTTATATGTTTTAAAGCAAACTATATTGTTATATACTTGCTGAATCACTGCCTGTATTTGCTTTGAGTGTGGATTCAATGCGAGACAATGCATCTTCCTGCTCGTATTACTAAGGTTTTCACTGCCTGCCCTTTAATATATGATAGCTGTGAAAAATAGCCCTAGCTACCTTTTTGAAAAGGTAAGGATGAGCAGTACACTTGCCCAATTTTTTTACTACATACATGAATAATGAACAAAATGACAATATAATCCAAAAATCTCTTATGGGGACAGGTTAACCTGCATGGAACTTCAGCCTTACATCAACAATTTCTTTAAGAATTATATACTCAGCCAGTAAGTGCTTCTGTTTACTCTGAATTTCTTTACTTTTTGGATGTCATGCAGGGATGCAGGAGATTATACCTTTGCAGAGGTAGCTGATAAAAGTAGAGATGTTTGAATGAACAGCAAGGATTGTAACACCCATGTCAGCAGATGTACCAACTCAAGTTATCCTATGCTGCGCACGGAGCAGGATGAAGAAAAAGCAGTGCCAGGAGATGATTCAGAAAAATGCATAAAGATATGTGCAGCTTGAAAGCACATGAGCAGTCTTGTTGCTTTAAAGTTCAGCAGATGCGCAAGAGGCCCAAGCCAACAGATCTACCAAGATTAGATTTCCAGGGCTTTATGGGTTGGTTTTTTTCTGCAGCAGCTAACATTCTTTGTACCTGCATTTGGTTTTATACATATGTGTGTGTGTGTGTGTTTTTGTTTTGTTTTTGTTTTTTTTTTTTTTCTTGACAGGTAACAACCCTTTCCGTTTTAAATGTTTCACTTACTGCCCTGTCGCCACAGAGCTGGGAGGGATTGTACAGGGCAATTGCCAGAGCAAAGTAATAAGATGCTTGTTCTCTACTTGCTTGTCTAGTCCAGCAGCCTGACAGTACCTTTTAAATTTGTTTACTCAGAGTGGCAGTTCTCTGGGTGCTCTGCTGAGCCATTTAGGAAAACCAGCAGCACCAAACAACCCTGAGACAGATTACATGCTGCTGCTGTCTTACAGAGCTTTTTTTTTTTTTTTTTTTTATTCCCCCGGGGTTTTGGGTCTCCCCAAAAAGAAAAATGTGCTTCAGTCACAAACTGTGTTTTTTTTATTGTTCTTCTTTTTTTAAAAGGTTTTTTTTTTTTTTTTTTTTAATGCACCTGGAGTTATGGCTCTCTCAGAATGACAATGTTGTGAACTTTATCTGTTCCCATGTCCTCCATGGCCCACAGAGGAAAACTGACTGGTTTGGAGATTTAAATTTTGTTGTTGTTGTTCTCTCTGGGCATGACTATGTACCCATAGACAGGAATCAAAGACCAACCTAGTCACTGGAAAGTCTAGGTGCCATAACACCTAAGATTCAGTGTTGAATAAGAAGCAATAAGACGTAAGAATTCAGATGGTCCAAAAACCTGAACAAACTGGAAATTTTTAGTTATAAATGACCATGTTCTCGGAGATGACAGCCTCCAAGAAGGAGAATGTGTGCTAGGAAAAGAGGATGGCAAAGGTGAAGAGAAGAGCATAGCTAAAAGCCTATATGGATTTTAGTGTTTTGTTTTTCTTTATCTTAAAACACACATGCACATGCCAGCTTGAGCTAGCTCCTGGGTGAGTTCCTATACTTAATGCAGAGATACCCTGCTAATCTTGCCCAGTTTTTGGAGAAAATTAAATGTTCCAACTAACTTAGAACAAAGGAAAATATAGCTAACTCATTTGTAAGCAACAGTTTTTCAAGGGTGTTTTTCTGTGGCTCAATTAGCACACGATGATGCACTTCTCATGAGCCCGAACAATAAATGCGTAGTCGCTGGCTGCACAGAGATATGCCAGTTCCATGGGAAAAAAAGCATTCATATGGTGTCCTGTGCATATGGTTGTTGGATCTCATTTTTTAATCACATAAAGCAGCTGCAAAAGAATATTTGAAATACTTTCTTTTTTTGTAGAACGGGCCATTCTGTTTCCTATGTCTAAACAGCTTTAGTCTAAGACAGTCTGGCAAAAGCGGGCTAGTGAGGAATGCATTACCCTGGGAGAGAAGTTTACACAATGGCACTTGCTTCAGGGCCTGATTTGGATCTTAGCTTCCTTCATGGTAAATTGAAAATAGCTGCACTGAAAGCGATAGAAGACCCTCAAACTTGAATTTTGGCAAATCTGTCCTAATAATTCCTATAATACCATCTTGAAAGACTAGTGTATAAATCCTGTTGCAAATAGGGACATCTTCCTGGTAGTTTGCTGGGGTGGCAACAGCGTAGGCACACGCATTAGGAAGGGTCAAGCTCAAGTCAACAACAACTGTGATGGGGTCAAAGAAAGTGGATTTTTAAGCCTTGGTTGGTAGCTTGGTAATTCTTGAGCAGGCTGAGACCTGCCTCAGTCTCTTGTGTTGTGGAAAAAGCCCTCAGACTATGTGATACTGAGCTCTGGTTTTGTCTTTAATGTTGTATGACACTGGGAATGGCTGGGACTCCACCAGCGTTTAGCCCTGGCGTTATGCTATGAGTACATAAGAGTAATGCAGGTTTGGGATGATCATCTGTACGGTACTGATCTGCTCGGCCTGCCAGCTTTCTCATGGCTTTGTGCAACTGTAGAGAGCAGGGACTTAGTTTGGCATGTTGTCTCTGTCTCACCATATGGTGAGTGGTCAAAACAATTTCGACAGACTTTATCATATCTGGGTTTTACTAACCATCTGCCTTCCTGTTCCCTCCCTTCCCAGCTGTGTTTGGGACAACAAAAATGCAGCACATCTGCCAGACAGCAGATATTCTGAAAATTGTTCTTGAAAAATGGTTCCATCTGCATTTCAGCAGCATCTTTCTGTATTTTTGCATCCCAGAAAGAAACGAAGGTCCTTAGTGAAGCTCTCCATGAGATGAAGGAAGAGAACAAGCTCCTGAAGCAGAAGAATGCATCAATGATCAGAAAGAAAGAACACTATGAGTGTGAAATAAGTCGTCTCAATAAGGTACGAACGAGAGGGAGCCACTGACCAAGGCCTCTTCCTTTAATTCTAGGGTCTCTGTTGTCAAGCAGTGACACTACCAGATGCTCATCTTTTCAATCCTGGGTGAACAACCTGTTCACGGTAGCAAACTCATGATCACTGTTAGGGAGCTGGGGAAACAAGCAAGAATGTACTTTAGCTAATACCTGTGCGTGCTGTTCTTGGTAGGTAGTAGGGTTGCAGTGTAATGAGGAAAGTTAAGAGAATCTCTGGCTTCTGCTGTGAAACCTCTCTATGTGTCGTATCTAAGCTCTTTCTACAATCTCCCTCCTTAGAACAAAAGGGAAATGGCACAAAAATGCTTCCATATGCATCCAGTGAAACACTGATTAAAAAAAAAAATAAGACATTTTAAAAACTGTTGTTTTATATATATTTCGTCTTTGAGAAAAATGGCTTCTCTTCACAAGACATGCTCCTGTCTTAATTTTTATATGCATACATATATATATTCACTCATATAAGTATGTATGTGCATATGTGTCTCACTGAGGAAATTGACATAAAATAGCTAAATGGGATTTATTTTTTTTAATTGAGGGAAAGAAATAAATGTAGCTTTGTTTAATCAAAAGATCACACAAAGCAGTGGGTGTTTTCTAACAATTTTGTATTTCATGGTGAACCACAAACACTTCCTGAGGAAATGCATGGCAGTAACCATTGCTGTGTAACTTTAAGTGATACACAAGCTAAAGGGCCACGATATGCAAAAGTCAAGGCAAAAAAGTAACGTTGCCATCTTAAAAAATCTGACAGAATGTATCATCTCTAACTTTTTGAAATGCATTGACAGAACTTCCTCAAAGCCTCAGTGTAACTTTCATTCAAGGTCTTGTTTGTAAAACAACTTATTTCAGTGTTTTATTTTGCTGTCTTATAATGCAGTTGGAACTAAGACAGGTGGGTAAATAGACCATACTTTCAGATGAAACATCAATTTCACGTAACACACTTTCCCACAAGTAATACTTTACTGATTTTCTGTGTATTTGTGTTCTTCAAATCTCATGTCATGAATGCCCATAGGACTGGAAGGGAACCTCCGTGCTCTTTTAAATCTAGTCCCCTGCTATTGCAGGTTCAGTGACTTGAAGCTCTTACAAATTCTCTGCAATCAAACAACTTTTTCCTTAAGCTCCTTCTACTGTGCTTCTTTTGGAAGACTGTTCTGGAACTGTAACTCTTCTTTCATTAGATGCTTTCATCTGTTTCAATTGGGCTGAATTAATTCTGGCCAGATGATATTCATTTGTTCTTCTGATAGCAGTGTTGAACGGATCTGCTTCACTCCTTGCGTGAAGCAGATCTGTCCTCTCCATAAAGCAGAACTGTCCTCTGGTGAAAATATGATTGCTGTCAGGGGCACTTGCTCCTTCACGATAGATACAGAGAGCAATCATATTTCTGCTAGAGAACAGTTTAGCTAAGCTGACCTAGCTCTTTTGGTCTTTTAAAATACAACTATGCCTGCTAATATGCATGTTTTTTTCATCTTGGTCATTTTAAACTGTTTAGTTCTCCGTTTATGGAAGATGCCACTTCTTCTTTCTAAGTACATTAACCTTTTTACTTCAAGTACTTTGATCTTTTTACTTTTGGCTTCATCCCACTTTGATTGCATCATCCAGAGTACCCAAAGTATAGAGTCCAATCTGATCCTACTTTGATGTCTGCAGCATGAAAGTGATGTTGCAATGCCATAGCAGTTTGTAATGCTATATCCCAAGATTCTTGGCTTTCCTGTGGTTGTTTCTATGTTCACCATATAGTTCAAGTACAAGCCAAACTTCTGACTTATTTCATAACTTTGCTGCATCATCTCCTCAATTGCTATTTAAACGTAGACTAATAAACTCTAATGTATTTCCCCTGTTAAGAAAATCTGTTTTTTATGAAAGACATCAGGTTAAAAAGTGCTTTACTTCATGCCACTTCTCATGTCTATACTGCAATTCTCTTCAAAATTTCCTCCCAAGCCTGGGACACTCTTGAGATTAGATTAAGAGGTTTCTAGGTGCACAGACCACTTATCCTTTTTGTAGCTTTGGAAACCAAGGTAGTTATTTTTCAGTCATACAGTTCCATTTTTGATGTTGAAAAACTCAGAAAACCTCTGTGCTGCTTGTCTTGCAATTTTAGGTTTCAGTTTTCAGTACTTCTGAATGAATGTTATTTAACACCACATTAAGTTAAGCTCAGTTTAACTCAGTGAGCTGTGTGTTCTTTCTCATTGGTATGTCTTCCTTGCTGTTAGCCATCCTGCCGCTGCCACAGTGCTCTACGTTATGCTCCTTACTGTCTTTAGTCTTGCTTTCCTCTATAATACCTTCCTCATTGTACTGATTTTTGTAGTGGGGAAAAAAATGTATAGTTATATGTATATAATTTATAATTTAATTTCTTTTGCAACATACATCTCAGTGTGACTGTCTCTCTTACCCTGCACTTTCATCTAAAAGCTACCAAAAGTGGTAGCTTTTGTTGGGATCAAATCCTTTCTCCAGTCCCTAAAGGCATTTTAATTTTTCTTCTTGAAATTATTCATCTAGCAGTCCCTCGAGCATTTTCCTATACAGTTTTTTTTCAACTTCCTTGAGATATGGTTTTCTGGGGGGTAGGGGAGTGGTTTGTTTGGTTGGGTTTTTTTGTACGTTGATTTTTAATGAAGTAGGAATAGCCAAATGATCTGCAAAAATTGCATACAGGACCAATTATAGAAGGTGCCTAGAAGTTCTTTGTCATTTCTCAAATTTGCTAATTTGAAATTACAAATCTTAGTTACGTATTTAAAATAGCTTATTTACTTTTAATTTGAAGTGTCTCATGATAATTTTATTCACAGTTGTTTTTTAAAACCAGGGGAACAATAATATCATCATTTCTTCTGTAAATTACTCTAAACCAGCCCCACCTTCTGTCAGTTCAGAGTAATGGGAGTTTTGAAAGAAAAATATTCCAGTTACATTTTTGAGTATTAGCTTTAGTAGTGTTTACTCTCCATTTTATACTTGGGAACCCAAATCTCCTATAATGACATAATGCTCAATAATTTGCTATTGATCTAATAGCAACATTACAAAATTTTACTTTTTTTTCCCCCCATACCTAGCACTTCTCAGCATGTCCCTTACAATCTTTCCTCAAAGATTTTGATCTCAGTTTAATATGACCCTAAACCAATTCAGCTTTATTCATGCTACAGTTTGTTATTTTATTTGAAGTAATAAAATGGGGTCTCACAGCCTTGCTTCCAAAAGCGGTTTAAAAAAATACCTTATTTTTCTCTACTGTTAATCATTTGAAGACTGAATTTTCTGGATTTTTCTGGGTTTTTTTCACCATAATTCTGAGATGTAGAACCTCCTCAAAAAAAAACCAAATAAACAAAAAACCCTGAAGAACTGTCCAAGTACCTAATACATCTATATCATTATATGATTCTAGGAAGTAAGCTGCAAGAAAAATCGTCAATATAGTGACATTTGTTCAAGAATTAGGAGAACTGTCAACAGTTTATGACTATACATACTTCAATTGTAGAGGTGCATTACCATTTGCTAACGTCAGGATGGCCATAATCAGTAAGATACTATCCTAGTGAAGGAGTTTTAACAGAAGACACAGCCATATAAAAAGGGGCTACAGCAGATGACTGGGAAAATGGTATGTTGTGAAGGTAGGACACTCAGTTATCTTTGAATTAGAGCATCTGAAGCACTTTCTTTTGAGGGTGGTCAAATCTTAGAAGAGGTTGCTTAGAGAGGCTGTGAAATCACCCTCCTTGGAGGAGCTTAATACTCAGTTGACAGACCCTGAGCAACCTGACCTCCCTGGCCTGGCTCTGAGCAGGGGCTTGGACCTCTAGAGGTCCCTGCCACCCAAGTGAGTCTCATGATTCTGCAGTTGTCAGCAAGGTTGAGATGTATCCCACGTAGGCAGGGGAAAGAAATGCATGTTTCACTCATCTTTGTCCTCAGCAGTGCGCTTAGCAAACCACACGCTTGGGAAAGGATCTGGGTTGCAGTCAGCAAGGGAACGTATCATACGTGCTGCGATATTGTCAGACTTCGCTGACTCTTGCTGCTGCTGGCGATCCATGCCCAATCTAAATGCCAATGTGAAACTTATTATTTGTTTTACTATTTGTGCAGAGCACTGCCATGTCATAGCCTAAAAGGGATTAGCAGTGGCCCAAAGGGACAAAAGGAGGATTAATCAGAAAACTGCCTGTAATTAATTAATTAATTAATTGCAGATAGCTTATTGAGGATTAATCAGTAATCTTTATCTTGCAACATTTATATTCAACCTTATTTATGTATTGACATGGCCCACAAACTTTGCCACTATTATACCAATTTCTCTTCTGCTCTATTCTTAGAGACAGTAGCTCATTAGATAAAAAGCCTCCCTTTTCTCTTCTGTGCTCTCCATGGACAGTGCTATTTTTTGTTAATTTTTTTTGTTGGCCTTTTGATAATTAATACTAATCCTTGGGTTACTTCAGATACAGGTTCTCCTGCTTGGCCACTTCCCCCTCTGCCTCTTCCCTCCTTCCCTTATGGCATGAATGGAGTGTGGCCAGCAAGGGGGAGCTGGGGATCATTAGCAGGAATTGAAATTTCTAAAATGGGTTAAGTTAGCTGAGTCCGTATCTTATGTGAGAGACGTTGAAAAGTACTGAACGGTGAATATTTGTGCTAGATTAAATAAGAAATATGTAAGTGTAGCGTGTGGTTATTGATGGAGAGGGGTAAGAGTGATTTAGAAATTATCCCAGTCCAAGGGAGAGCTGTGTAAAACCGTGAAAAATAAATTAAATCTGTAGAGAGCTATGGCAGAATTTGACTGAAGAGAGCAAGAGTGTTATCAGTGTAGTGTGTGTATTCATAACTCCCTCTAGTGACAAGCTATAGAGACTACATAACTTCCTCTCAACCAGAGGGTTTACTTCGGTTGCAGTTGAAGAAACTTGTACTCTTAGTGCAAAAAATGTTTCAGTCAGACTTTACTGTAGTCGTATTTTTAGGCCATCTTTGAATATTGCTTTTATGTTCTTGGTTTTTTTGTTTACTTGGTTTCGGCCTCAGCTGAGTTTAGACACCTGTCTTTGTTTTCCCAAATTCTGACTTGCACAGGGAAATGGTGTTTATGAATGAGAGTTGCAGCTGTGATTTCTATAGGTAAATGTTGGTTAAGGTTACAAGTAAAAGCACAATCCCCTACATGACACTGTCTCAAATTCATGGATGTAGTGTGGGCACTTTGAAAATTTGGACCTAGTCATGCATATATGTTATTCATGGGGTTTATATCCAGTGTATATAATTGCAGCAACTGCAAGTGAAGGGAAAACCCCCACAAGTCTGTGACTCATTCTAATCTGTTTATTTAGAGGGCAAACATGCTAATCATTTAAAAGGATTTTTTTTTTTTTGATGTAGAGAATCTCTGTTTAGTAATTTTGCTGTTTGATGTTGCAGGCCCTTCTGGATGTGTTGAAAAAGCAGCATTCACCTGGTGTCAGGACTCCTTCAGAGACGGGTGACAGGAACAGCCTTGAGGACATGAGGACCCAACTTGAAGTTCTCAGACAGCAGGTGAGAACAGCTGGAAGTAAGCCTGGATGGATTTCATACAGCATGATTTTGCCAACTGCAAGTGAAGGGAAAACCCCCAAAGTTTTGGACCCATTTTAATTTTTTTTTTTAAGGGGCAAAAATGCTAATCATTTAAAAGGATTTTTTTTTTTTTGATGTAGAGAATCTCTGTTTAGTAATTTTGCTGTTTGATGTTGCAGGCCCTTCTGGATGTGTTGAAAAAGCAGCATTCACCTGGTGTCAGGACTCCTTCAGAGACGGGTGACAGGAACAGCCTTGAGGACATGAGGACCCAACTTGAAGTTCTCAGACAGCAGGTGAGAACAGCTGGAAGTAAGCCTGGATGGATTTCATACAGCATGATTTTGCCCTCTCTCCCAGGAATTGTGCCTGGTAGACTTGCTATGTAAAGCTTTTGACAGGAGGAACCAGTTTAGCCGTAGCCCATTCAAATGGTGTTTCCTAAGATGCTGCCATCATAGCAGTGTCCACGAAGTGAAACTGAGTCCTTGCAAAGGACTGGAGCAAGGACTTGTGTAGTACTCAAAGCAGCAGAACGTCTCTCCTGACTCCTGGAGATGTCCTGCCAGCTCTCTGCTAGGGGCTGAATTTCATCCAGAGGGAATGCTAAACTTCGTGAATTACTGCTTGTATCTTCTGCTCCTTTTTTCTTAGAAGTTGAAAGTTTAGTGAATTGTCTAAGAATCCTAGTATTGAAAAATTAGAGCGTTGGCATTGCAGTTTTTCAAAGTGTGAGGCAAAACATTTGCATCCATAACCTGCATACCAATCACTATAGAGAAGTGTATTTTTTTTTTTCATCTTTGTTCTGAGGAATTCAAGTGCTTTGTGCACTCTCTTTCCATATGAAAGAATCTGTTTAAAAACGTGATACATCTCAGATAATTTTACATTTTAGGTCTGTCATCCTGGACAGTGTTAGGGCTAACATTATTGACACACAAATGGATGTGATCAGAATGGGAATTTTATTCAATGGGAATAAAATACTTGTTTCTGTCACGTTTGACAGCAGAGCCAGATTTTGCTCTCTAATGTAATGCTTGCCACATGCTGGAGAATAAAATCCTGCACTTGATTGTACAGTAATGAGTTATTTCATTCTACACAATAAAATAGAGTAAACCAATTTTTTTCAGAATTCTCATGGGGTATCCATTTTATGAATGTCTTTTTCTAGTTGTATAAATCAGTACAGTGAGTCCAGACTTCCTTCTGCACAAAATGGAGCAGAAGGCTCTAACCGTACAGAGGAGGGACTCTTGAGACAAACAGCAACATGACAGTGTCTCACCAGAGCTTGCCTGTCATCAGCCCATCCCTGGCCACATAAGAGATGAAGGCATTCATTCCTTGGGAGGTGTCCCCCTCTTTCTCAGGGCAACCGAATATATGGCATAACTGTGACAAAGTGGTTCCTTTGCAGCTTCAGCAGATCGTGCAACTGGGGAGCAGGAGGGAGGTGGGACATCAGAGACAGAATCAGGAGAGAAGAAATGAGGAAATACTGAGGACAGAAGCATGTAGATGGACAAGGGATACAAGAGACGTAGATTTCTGCAAGCGACAGGTTTGCCTCTGCTTCAGAGGGTCAGGGGTGCGCATGCCTCCTGCAGGTACAGGCTGTGGAGCCGAGTCCCCACACGGCCACACAGAAAGCCTTTGTTCCTTCTACACAGTGTTATTCAGGAAGGGGGTTATATCTAGTGGGGGACCATCGGGTCCGAAAAACACCTTGCAAAAATTAGCTGCAACAGGCAAGTCATGAAAATAACTTATAGAGCCCTGTGTTGACTTTTTTCTTCCCCTGAGGTATTAACATTTCTTTAGTCCTCCTGTGAAGTCATAGTGCTACTGCCAGCAAAAAGAAAACTGGATCTGTATGATTAGCAGGGCATGAGCCACAGCAAGCATTTTCTTTGGAAACAGACTGTCAGTGGGCTTTAGTGACCAACCAAGAGGACCTGAAAGGACTTCTGAAAGTTCTGGTGGTGGTTCCCACCCCAACGTGCTTTTGCTGTTATTTGTCAGCAGAAGTGCCACCAGCCTCGGGCTTCTTACCAGGTGGATGCCTGCCCGTTAGCTGAAGAGTTAAGCCAGTCAGCTTAGCACCAATTAATTTATGGATTTGTGTTTTGCTTCTGAATCTGTGTGTTTGCTGCCTGTGCCTGGGGTCATCAGATATTTTTTAATGGGATGAAGCACTATGATTCCTGGTGACATAAGAAGAGCTAAGCCATTGCATCCTTCAGTATTTGAAAGGCAGCTTATCTTCTAGGAACAGAGTCAAACCTCTGTATTTCCGTTTTGAATTGTGTACATAACATTCCCTTCTACTTCTACACTGGGGCAGGTAGAGTCCTTGGGCTGCAGTTAGAGAGGATGAATTAGAAGTCCTATACTACAGACAAAAGGTACATGGGCCAATTATTTTTTTATACATACAGTTTCTAACATCTGGAGCATGATAGCCTCCTACGTTGTTTTTGTTTGTTTTTTGTTATTGTTGGGTTGTTTTTGTTTTTTTTTTTTCCCCACAGTGTTCCAGCCAAGGTCTAAATTCCTTGACAGTCCTGACTAGGCCATGTCTTCTGGTCGTTAATATGTGACCATGCCTCTAAATACTTACCACTTATTCTGCACACATTAGTCCTTTGGGATGTGGCTAGACAGCTAGCGCTGTGGGTAGGGTAAAGCTGCAGACAACTACGAAAAGGTGTAAAGCAAAGCAGGCTCAAAGCCAACGGTATTCAGTGGGCTATAAAAAGGGAGTTATTGGATGATATTGGTTCATCATTAGGGTGGATAAGGTGATAATGTTCTGTCAGACTGCGTGCTAGAAGTCAGTTTTTTGTGCTGTGCCAGCACCTCCTGTCTCCACCAGGATGCTAAGTGTTTGCATCTGAGATACAGGGGGAGTTAAAAGTGCTCATAATTGAAGAGAAAACTGGAAAGAATGTTGGTAAAATGTTTGTCCTACTACTGTTTATCCTTTAAAAAGATCGACGTCTTTAGTACTCGCTCTCTTATTTATAATATTTAGAACTGATATCTGCCAGTCAGCCTTTTAAATTACAAGGGTCTATGAATACTGAAGCTGTGGACTGTTTTGATTGATGGGTACCATTGGAGAACAGCCATTGCTTGTCACTTTAGTCATAAAAAAGATGAGGGAAACCTTTTGTTGCAGGATTGTAAAGAGGAGGGATCCTTTTGGAATGCACCCTGCTGCTTGGCCAGTTTTTAAAAAGCAACCAAACAACAAAGTGGATGAAAATTTCCATTGTGGCTCCGCTGAAATTCACATACTCGGTCATAACATTTGCAGGTACAAATATATGAAGAAGACTTCAGAAAGGAGAGATCTGACAGAGAAAGACTTAATGAGGAGAAAGAAGCATTGCAGAAAATTAACGAGAGATTACAGTCTCAACTGAGTAAACTAAACTCTCAGGTATGAGTCAAAAGAAAGTTACCGTTGCCAGCACATGTGTATTTTATTTTTATTTTCTCACTTTCCACATAACCCAAGGTTTTCTGGCTTCCATTAATTGACATTGGATTTTATATGAGGTCACCACCTGGGATGAAATCATTCTGAAGTAATGCAGTAAGAAGATGAGAAATGATTAGAGATGACTTCCTAATTAAGTAAATGAAGGGAGTATTTATTGCAAAAGCTCTTCAAACATATCGTAAAATGAAGGGGGGGGAACCAAAAACAAATCCAGAGGACTGTTGATTGTTTCGCTGGCACTTGATATAAGAGATGTAACATCAAACCAACTTTTGAAATAAAAGCTTCTGTAATGAATCCTGACCTCTGCAGTGGAATTAGAGTAATGTTAATATCACTGAGGAAAAAAAATTGTCTCCATCCAAATTAGCTGAGCAGCCGCTGCAATAATTTTTTGTTGCAACATCCTTTTTATCTCTTAGCAGTAGTGTCAGTACTCTGTTCACAGACATTCAGGAAGCCATAGTAAAATTATGGCATGCAAAATGCTGAGCTTTCTTAATCCTTGTTAAAAATGATGAAATTTTGAGGTTTCCTGTCTTGACAAAATTGTGCAATGCTTTAAAAGAATGGCCAATTACCGAAATGTTCTGTGATGATTTATTGTCCTCCCCAACATTGTTGTGAAACAGAAACTTCAGTATTGTGTTATTCTCAACCAAGCCATGCATTGATACTAGTAGGGTCTTGCAGTAGTATCAGAGGCAAGGTGCTGTCAAGTGCCCCTCACTCCTATCGGCTTCAGCGGGAGTGGAGAGCAGGTTCGGCATCCTGGCCGATGCTGGGCCCTGCTGCAGTAAGGCTCCAGACTTGTCAGTGCTTTTATGGGTACCTGGAAGCATTTCATGCAAGTATAGAAATAGCAATGCCAGAGGGAATGCCATGATTTGCCACTCAGGGCACCCCAGGCATGTAGAAATACCTTGGACAAATCTGTTAGCATTGCATGCAATAACTTTCAGGTATGTTTCCCCCACCCACCAGCCCACTCCTGGGTGGTTCAATAAGGTAAAGAAAATTTTTTGTAGGAGCCAAAGTACTCAAAGACACCTTCTTCCTATATATTTTTTGCTTTGTCTAGAGACTGTAAAAGACTAAATTTCTTGTACAACCCCAATGGGTCAACGGACGCTGTGAGAACTTCTCACAGCAGTGACAGTGAAAAGGAGGACTACAAATGGGGCTAAAAAACCTTTCCCACTCCTCCCCAGCTGCTCTGGAACAGGAGAAATGCCAGCAGCGCTGCACGTGTATAACACACCCGAAGGGCTGTACAAGTGCTGTGTAATGTGTATGTACAATTTGACTGTCCCTGCATTGCATCGACAGTTTACACTAGAGATCATCTTGTTTGTCTCTTCCTGCCTTGGGATTTGATTAAACAGAGCTTGTGAAGGATTTTAAACATGAGAGGAACCATACAGAATATTTATTAGTTTGTTTTCTTAAGTCAAATTATTTAGTTGTGGCTCATCTTTTACCCCTCCTTGCTCTGTCCTTAGGCAAATTCCCGTTGACTCTGCTGGGACACAGAGGGCCTAAGAAAAGGCAGACCCAAATCTCGAGGCCATTGACTTTGGTCCTTTACCAAAATTATTTATTTTTCTTGTTATGCAAGTGCCTGTCCATGTAGTTCTGCTTCAAACTATTGAAAGCTACTGTGTGTAATGAAAATGTTTCTTGAATATAGAAAACACCCAGAAATGTGCTTGCCTTATCTTGAAACCAATATTTTGTCATATAAGAAGTGTCAAGACTCTGGTGTGGCATAAGTCAGCTTTCTTAAATAACTTTTAAAATCATCAACAGTCTGAAAGGTCTAAACAAGCAGCGTTGCAACCCATGCTGAGAGAGGAGGGTTTCTTCCCCATTGCTTTTTACTGATAAATTTGTATGTGAATATTCTGTTGGACATCGTATCCTGCTACTAATGCATTTCTTCTTGCTTTTCTTATCTTTTGACAGACAAAAGACCTCCCGGTACAGTCTGAGAGGCCCAGCTACCCACCTCCCCTCTTTCTCTCGCCATGTGTTAATTATGGGAGTTGTGGGTTGGTTCTTCACTATCAAGATCCTCGAGCACATCCAGCATCTCGCAGGGCACATGAGCAGCAACAGCCCTCAGTAAGGTTCCCACCATCTCCCATTTCACAAGGGCACTGATTTTCTCACAGCATGGTGACCACAGGAGAATAACGTGGTGCTATCACACTGCCATCCTCACCAGTAACTAAATTTGTCGTTTCCCAGTTTCTGGCCAGTTCTGGATCAAGATTTTGTACTGGTTTTAGAATGAGCCCTATGTCTGGAACAGCCTTCCTGATCTCTGTACAGTCTCTCTTCCCTTACTGTCTGCCCCAAAATGGTGATTTTTCTCTTGGTAGTCATGTTCTTTTCATCCTTGCTGTTCCAGTGTCTTCAGTACTGAATTGCACAGAGTACTGCCATGTGCAACTCAAAGTATAACGAACAGAAATCTGCACAAACAGGAAGAATTGCAACAATTTAAATATATGGTTGATGAGTTATACTTTAAGTATGTATTCTTAAATATTTAAAATTTACTGTGGCAAATGCTATTTATCTACAATACCACTAAGAAGAAAAAGGGGATTATTATACATTTGTTTTCAATGATACTGGTGGTCATTCCTTAATTAAAAAAAATAGGGTTGTTTGATTGGACTGTTGCTGATTTCTTAGATTAATTTACTTCCACGACACACATTCAGAGCTCTTTCTAGCTATATAGTTACCCAAATTCATAAATACAGATCTGCTCTCTGAAGCCCAGTTCTGGGCCCTCAACGTAAATGATAATAACAAAAATGAGAACGTAGCTGTGGTCAGCATTATTCTGGTCTCTTCCCTCTATTTGGTCTAAGAAATCTTGTTGACTAATATGTCTTATTTCCGTGTCTTACACTGGGTATTTTTTTCTCTGCCCCAGTCTTTGGAAAATTACTTTCCTTCTTCACTTATGGCTTCTATGTTCATAGGTAATATAACTGTCCTGCCGCCAGGCAATACTGCTGTAACCAGACTGCAGAATCCAAGGTTCCCTGTACGCCTTTTGGGGGAGGCAGACAAAATCAGGATTCACAATGCTCTTAAACTGTAAGGGTGAATTCCCAGATGCTGTGGCTTGTACCCAGTAGTGTCTTCCCTCTGGTACGCTGCTGTGAAATGGGATTACGTGAGGAATAAGGTTCTACTGAGGGTGAAATACTGTGGCTGTGAATGCTTTAGGAATGCAATTTTCCCAAGCGAGCCTATGTATTGAAAAAAAAAAAAAAAAATCAGCAGAAGTGCAAATTCTATCTGAGTGTGGCTAACACAATGGGCAATTTGCCTTTTTTCCTGGCACACAACAGGGTCCTGTCTTCCTCAGCATGAAGAATAGGTTTGCACTAGGGCAGGTTATGTGAGGGGGAGTTATCTATTTCAAGGAAAATACTGCTTCAAAGAATGATATTTTTGAAGTGCTTTGGGCTATCGAAGTGGGCTGTGCTTGTTCAAATCTAGTGAGAATGCATTTATACATGGTGAATGTCATTTTAAATACACAATATCTGTTTCTGGCTATAAAGCTGTCACGTATGGAAAGATGCTCATTATTTGAGAAATTACAGCCGAATTTTTGCAAAACGCATATAAGGCTTTCAGACTGTAGAAATCCAACGAAAAAGCTGTGGTCAAACAAGTCATTTCTGTGCTTCAGGAGGGTGCTTATCTGCCTATTTATCAGAGTTGGAAGTATTGCAGAATGTTTTTCACTGCAATTTGGACACTGTCCCAGATTATTTTGGCTCTTCTCCCTGAACTTTCATCATCTGGGTTTCTAATTCTGCGAGGGATCACTGGGTTTACAACTTTGCCATTCCTGCCGGAGCACCGGGGTCAGTTTGACTGGTTGCTTTGTAACTCCCAGTTTCATTCTGAGTTTTCTTTGAAATTCTTTGTCTGTGCGAGTGCAGCGTTGCTGCTCTGAGCTTTTGATACCTCCCTGAGCAATTTGTTTAGCAACGAAGAAAGGTGTTAGAATTTAATGAGTGTCCTGAGTTAACGTACGTAATCCTGTGTTTAGTCTGTGCTTTTGCTTTTTCGTTCTTTTTATAGCTTGCACCTTTTTATTCCTTTTTACTCCTTTTTACATTGTTAGTAGAAACATTTTGTTTAGTCTGACATGAAATACACTTCTTGTTTCTGAAATTCATTCAGTTTGCGTAGTGTAAGTACATATGAAAGAGAAGAGTAGATCAGAGAACAGAAAATTCAACAGGAACTCAAAAAAGCAATGCAAATAAGCGTATTTTGAGCCATTGGTAGAAAAACTACCTGTGCTTAAAGCAAAGCAGTGTCTTGCTTTGTATCAAAGCCTGTTTTGTTTGCCCACAAGCACAGAATTAGTTAATAATTCCTGTGGATGGTATAATTTAAGTGAAAATAGGGTAGCTCCTTTTTTCCTGACAGTATATGAGAGTGCTTATTGCTGCGTAAGTATGAATGACAGCATACATGAAAGTTAAATCTGTTTTCTCTATCTACAGCTTTGTCCTGCCATCTTAATTTAGGCAAAACTTCTTTAGAAATCTATGAAATTTCTTTCCTACAAGTTGAAATCTGTAAGAGTCTCCTTGGGACTACTCAGGATTTTGTCAGAGTAATTTCTGCAAGAGAATAATTATTTTCCCAATTTAACTAATTTGAAGCAGTAATTACCTGGAATTTGACAAGCTTGCATGTGCTACTTAAACCAGATAGACAGCTTAATACAGCTTCAACTGAAATCAATCAATCCCAAAATTGTTTTCTCTGGTGGTAATTTGCTACTCACCACGGTGTGTGGTATGAACTATAATGCAATATTTCTCTCTTCCAGGATTTCCCTGGACAAAACCGTTTGCAGAGACATAACCTTCCCAGTACTTCCTTTTATAAGAAAAATGGGAATTTTTCCCATCCCACAGTATTTTCCAGAAGTTATTTGATAACAGCTAATGTTTTAGTAACACTAATGCTAACCTGTGGGGAAGGGAGGAGGGGAGAGAACTTTATTAAATGGGTTATTCCTGTCACGCTGAAACGTGTTACAGATGTTACACGTATTCAAACCGGAACAGCTTCACCTGTCAGGTCAATGTGTACCAGGTTTCTCTGGGGTTCTTTAGTATCGAGAATGTGATGCCTGCTAGTATCTTCTGGTGTACTTTATTCCTTAGCCCTTTTAAAATCCAATTTGTTTCTGTTAATGTTTCTTTTGATCTGTGGGATCTAGAAAGGTTTACACCAATATTTCTACTGAGAGCAGCATCTAAACCACATGTCATAAAAAAGGAAGCAAGCTGAAAGACTCGATCAGTGGAAATATAAAGCTAAATATAAGATTTTTTGTAAACTACTTTTGTATGACTAATAAAAAACTTCACAGCGCAATTATATTTTTATCATGTCACTGTTCTTTTGTTTGAAGTGTCTATGAAGTCCATATTGCTGTAATAATGTTTTATTGTTCTGTGCAGCCAGACTATCAGTGGTATGTTCCTGACCAGTTTCCGCCAGATGTGCAGCACAAGGCAAATGGTAAGACAACAGCTGTACAGAGCATATTTTAAATGTACTTTTTTTAAATGGGGGCCTTTTGAGGGATGTAGAATAAACTTTCCTATTTATCTGTTGAGTGCTTATATGACAGCTTTGCCTCAGAGCAATGAGGTTGCTGTATGTGCAACACAGGTGAGATTTCTAATGTAATACCATCTACATTATGGCTTTCGGCTTCGTTGCAATTCATAAAATGGCTCTATTACACGTTATAGGATCACACAGTTGCCTCATTAAACACCTAGCAATAGTCCTAAAGAAAAGACATCCTCATAGTTTTCCTTAGAGCTTCTGTTGCTCCAGCTAAGACTGAATTTAATGATGTGCTGAACCTGGGGACTAAGATGGGGCAGATTTTAGAAGCCCTTGGTAACAAAGTACAGGCTTTAGGATGTTGTTTCACCTTAAAGGCGAAATGCCCATTGCTATTCTTGATCTGCTCTGATAGTTCAAGGTGCCAGGTCTGAAAATAAAACCATGTAAATGGACGAAGTTAATTAGTTGCCAAAGTGTCAGTGCAAACTATCTTTTGGAAACCAGGAGGAGTATTTAGTATTTGTACCTGGATTTGAAATCATGCCAAGTTTCTGGGTGTTTCAAAGTACTTGCTTCAGACCACTCAAAAGATGGATGCCAGAGAGCACAAGGGAGAAGGGACGTTGTTCTAGGTGGGAATCCGCCCTCTGGACCTTCTCCTTCAGAAACTCCCCTAAACCACCCCTTTTCTCTCAAAAGTCGTTGAGAATTATGACACCTAAAGTTTTGTGTTTTGCTCTGTTCTCATGTTTTGTGGCCCTTTTGTAGAGGTACCATCATGACACATCACTCTGTGCTGCAGGGCCACCAGCAAAGTTTGCTGGTGTACACTGCAGGAGCGTGTGTGCTTCGTGTGTCTGCCATTTCATGGTGCGAGTGGGTACCATATGGGGTGGCAGGGACTCATCACCAAAAGCTGTTTTGTAACATCTAGAAGATGGCGGCTACAGAGGAACTATTCCATAATTTATTGTCGTCCACATTTGCAGAGAAGAGAGGGTAGGGTGGGAACGTAGCTCGCCAAAATGGAGGATGAGCTTCCCATAATTACATGGCAACTGTTTGGAGGGTTCTGATGTGGTCATAGGGAAAGTAGTGCTGTGACTGCAAGAGAGGACAGGAGATTAATTTTGTAGTTCCTCCCACTTAAACTCCAAGTGATTTACTGCACCAGAGAATACAGGGAGGAGGTTTATAACAGTGAATGAAACAAGTCCGGCCACCAACTGCAGCTGTGGTCCAGGGCAGTACACTTAGGGGATCTGAAGAAAAAGAGTTCTTCTTTTACCCTGCTTGATTATATGAGTTGAATTCTGGCTCCCTGAAAAAACTTTTTTTAAAATCTGTGCTCTGTCTTTCTATTATTGTTCCTTGTCCAGAACATCTAAATACCTCTTTCTCAATGGGACAGTGAGCAGGACACTTGGAGACTTCTCCCTTCCCTTTTGTCTTCAGTCCCCATAAAGAGGAATTCTCAATGAGTCACATCATAGTGCTGTGTAGGATGTCTGTTTTAACATCTTTGGGGCTCTTATTCTTATCTTCACTGATAAAACAAAGTTTATTTTATTAGCCATTGATCAGAGAAGTCCAACTTCTATCAATTAAAAGGCACTAGCCTGGGTTTATGTACTGTATATAGTCTGTATATATTAAATCTGCATTTAAGTGTTTTGAGAAAGCTTTCAAAGATAGAAACTCCAAGAATATGTGATGAAAGTATTCTTGATGTTCCAATTGCTTTGTTCTATTTTGTATCAGTGCTAATTACAACGGTGGGTTTAAATGAGCTAGTACGTGCAGCAGCATTCCCGAGTCTCATTTCTCAGCTTTCATTTCCTCATGAGGTGATAAACTGACCAATAAATCTTATCCCTTCTGAGATAGGGCTTCAGCATAGAAAAACAAAACAGCAATGCAGCAACTTTTAGGCATGAGGCAGTTTCCTTTAGGAATGCTATTTCAATAGACTGATGTTTCTTGGGAAAACCATTAAGTTTCCCTTAAGTGAACAAATTTTCCTTTGACACGGGGTATTTTTTCTTAAGGAATAATTACAAAATACAGGTCACAGGTTGTAACTTTAGAGCTGAACACAAGTGAAATGAATTGGGAAATTGATTTTTTTTTTTATGATATTACATCAAAAAAAGCCTGTTTTAAAGAGATCTGAAATCTGTGAGAGTGTCTACATCAACTCTAACTAGTTTGCTGTAATGTCATTGGGACTGCAAAGGCATATTGTCACCAAGGAGGAATTATTAATTTTTTCTGCAGTTTTGTATAGATGTACCTAGATCGCGTTTTCCTCCCTGTCTCCCCTCTTTTGTGAGGGAGGAAGTTATTTGCACCCAGGTGCTTTGCCATCTGACTTAAGTTCTCCAGGTACTTCTGTAACCAGCTGTGATCTCATGTTTTCTGCTTCTTGTGTAACCACATCTGTTCTTTTCTTCTGACTGGCACTGTTTTTCTTAGCTGCTCCCGTGTTCAAAGGCGGCTATCTTAAGGGACTGCTGGCTCTGTGAAGCCTAGTTTGTCTTTCTGTTTTCTGTAAGAAGCACCTCTTTGCCTGTATCTACAGAAACAGGATAATAACTGAAATATTTTTAAAATTAAAAAAAAATCTGCTACAGAAATTTGATCAATCCTATTTGAGACTATTTTCCAAAGTTTCTACTCTAGTCTGTTATTTTCCCCACAGATCTATGTTTTGCTAGTTGGCAGAGGATCACTTATGCACAAGTCTGAGGAGCAATGTTGCCTCCAGCACTGAACTTCCGTGGTAGCGTGATGGTTTGGATCTGGCACTTTTTGATTTGAGCCCTTTCTAATTAGCCTGGAAATAACTTCTTCAGAATACAGGAAGGATGAGAAGAATAGGGGGGCAAAATGAGAAGAAAAAACAACAAAACCAAACCTCTGTTCTTTTTTCCATTAAGCCTTTCTTTCCAAAACAAGAATGAACAAGAGATATTCCACGGTAGCAAGACAATGGTAATTATCTAAGTGAAATCCTTGCAATTTAGCTTTATGAAGAGAGTGACGCTAAAGGGAGATGCTAAGGTTATAGCTATGAAGTATGGCTTTATGCAAAAACCTTGTGTTTGTTCAGAGTTTGGAGGAGTGAACACCACTTGTTACTTAATCAGGGCTACATCAGCTCCCTCCTCCTCTGAGGGTTTAACCCGGTTCCTCTCCTCCTGCTCTTTCATGCTGCAGTCTCATCAAGAGTTCAGTTTTCCACATGACCGCTGGGATCCAAACTGAATCCAGAAATATGCAACAGGCGGTTTGCAAATAGGAGGGTGTGGGCTGTATTCAGGTTTATTGGTCTGATTTTACTAGCATTTTCTTCCCATTTGCATCCACAAAGTTTCATGTTGCACCTCTTGTTAAGCTGCTTAAAAACTCAGAAAACTCATACCAGAGTTCAGCTTCTCTGTGAACATAAGTATTTCTTCTCCATATCTTCCCAAAGATTAAATACTCCAGCTGAAAGCAGGCAGGGTGAAGAGATGGATAGGAACGTTTTGTGTCCAGCCATGCTCCATAGGTTAGCTGGAAAGGAAATCAGGCTGCCAGGGAAAGACCACTCAGATAGTCCTCACAGGGCAACTGCCTGTCTGCAAAGCAGGATTAGGGGAAATCATCAGGATTCCAAAAAAAGCAAAGGTGTTTCCTTGAAGGTCACAATAAAGAGAGAAGAGGAAAGGTAAGCGATGAGAGGCAGGTAGAGATTAAGGAAGAAGATGATGAGCTGTTGTCTCACTGCACCAGCAATGTATTTCCAAGAGACTAACTCTTCCTGCCTGCCTCTGGGCTGGTCCCTCCCCAGGTACTTTGCTGTGCAGAAAGCCTAAACTGTGCTTAAAGTCTTCCAGCTTAGCCTTGTTTGACCAGCGATGCTGCCTTTGGAGGGGCATTAGCTCCTAAGTCTCTCCGTGCTGTCACTCAGCATTCCTGGAACTTTTCTGATCTTTTCATTCTGATCTTTTCATTCTTGGTTGTGAGGGTTTTGGGGGGGGTTTTGTTGTTTTGTTTTGGTTTTTTTCCTCTTTTTAAGGAGCAAGGCAGAAAGATTTCCAGCAAGTGTACTTAATGTCACTTTATTTGGCAAGCACTGTTGACTTCCTTCCTTATCCAACTGTGCAAAATTGAAAAGACAGTTGAAAAAAAGATTGATTTTGGAGATTTTCCCTGAACCCAGTTTTTTAATGAAAAATTCTCTGGAAAAGAGGTTTATTGCTCAAAGCCTACTCAGAGCAAGAACCCTTTTGCATGCCACAACTGCTGGCATGTATTGCCTTTTTCACTTCCAAAATTAATCTTACTGTATTTGTTTTCTTGGCAGAAAGATTCTTGGTACATGTATTTAAGAACCCCAGTTACCCCTTCAGAACATCAGATATAACTACTGGATTTCTTTGATGTCAACAGTACATTTTTGTTTTGGATCCAGTTATGTTAGGCACAGGGAGAAGCCAAAACGTAGCCCTACACCTACCTCTTGTTTCAAGGAGTAGCTCTGGAGGCTTGTGGGAGAGGTGAGAGCAGCGGGTCACCACCTTGTCTTGGCACGCATAGGCAAAGCAGAAATCAACCTGCAAAGCCCCAAGGATGCCCAGATGAGCACATGAAGAAGCATGATGTGTCCGCTTACTTTCATTATAATATCATCTCTTGTTCCCTTCCACACTCTGCTGCTTTCCAGATTTTTGCCCTCAAGGTAGCTACTTGGCTGCTAATGTTGTTGTAATTACAGCTAATTGGAAGAGGAGGAGGGAGAAGTGTGGGGTGTTCTGCTGAAAATAATGAGATCTGTAGGGAGGGGGGAAAAATGAAAAACTGAAAAATGGATTTGTGGAGCTCTTGAATGAAAACCAGGCAGAAAAAAAGTCAGTGACATCTTAATTTTCCTGGAAAAAAATCCTAGACTCTAAACATTTTCGGTATTAGCCTGTCCTCAGTGCATACTTTACATTAGAAATTATCAGTGCTCCCAACCAGTCAAGACAGATTTAATTAGCAGCTTGCCATCCCCACTGGGAATGAAAATGTGATTATTTTCAGGATTTTTATGGATCCAACGTGATTTCTGCTACTGCAATGTAACAAAAAGGCCATTAGCACACCTTTAAGTTCTAACTCCAGAACATGAGAATTTGCCTTTTTTAGAAAGGTATTGCTTTTAAAAGTCAACTTGAGCTAAAGATCACAGAATGTCTTGTAGTTTTTCAGAGTACCAGGCAGAAAAGTCTCATGTGAAGAGGAACAGGATATGTAATTTAATCAGCTGCATGATTTGATAATTTCATTTCTATGAAACAATGTATCGGGATTTATCATTCTGTACCCATTAGATTTTAAATGGCTTCACACACACTGGCATTTTTTTTTCCTTTGAGAATGAAACACAGGGAAGAATTGAGGCTTGCCTGAAAGGGGATGTCGATGGTGATCTTCTGGTGATAGGTGATGCGGTGGCTGTTTTCATTAAATCATTCTCTTTCCTGATGACTCGATGAAGCATTCATCTGCTATCTGGAAATATCCTTAGTTCCTGATTGACCATCTAAGGAAGCGACGTAAAAATTCGTTCTATGCCATTTGCATAGAACTTTAGGAGCCAAAAGCATCTTGGCATAAGCAGGGTGACCTCAGTGCGTCCCAGTGGGCCTCGGGATGGGGAAGGAACAAAAATAATTGAAGGACATCCCCACTGTACAGCTGCCTGAGGTGTTTGAATATCCAAGTCCTCTCTTTTTTCTTTTTTTTTTTCCCCCAAATTATATTGTTATATGAATACCAACATTTGATGTGAAGCTTGGAAGCACATTTCTTGTTAGAAAAGTTTTGTTCCACTGTCTTTGTTGTTATAGGAGGCTATTTGCATGAAATGAAATGAACACACAAATATCTATATTTATCTACCTTGCACAAAGAACCAGTCTGCTAATTGTTGCTCTTCCTGGCTTTTGTGAAAAAATAACTTGAATTTTAGCCCTGGTAGTACCTGCAAGGAAAAGGTGTCACCAAAATCAATGATTCACGGTACTGCCGCTTGCTACAACTGTGGACCTTTTGGATCAAGTTTTCTTTCATATACATTTGGATATCGTCAGCACTGTGGGTTTGGACATGAATGATGGGGTTACTGTGTAGCAGCTGCAGAGCAATTCTCCTAGGCAAATTCAAAACCCCGCTGGAAATATTTCACTCTTAATGTTCCTCTTGTAAGCAAAATACTGTGTGCACTTGTGTGTGTGCTACTAGTGATGTGTTACAGCGTTTCCAGAATCTTTTGAAACTTCAGGAAGGAAGTATGTGTTACACCGGCAATAGTATATTTCCTTTCTTAGATTTTTATTTTGTTTTTCTAGCTCAAGTGAGTTACTATCAAACACATCTTTGAACCACAGACACCTACTTAGCAGTAGGTACTACTACCTAATTCTTCCCTCTGTCATACTTACCTCCTCTCTTGGGTGCACCTAATGCTAATGTATACCGATGACCACTGCTGAATGTCAGCTGTTCTTTTTAGAGGTCTAGAAAGATTTTACATGGGGGCTTTAGGTTACAAGACCCTACTGTTTGCTCTATATCAACAATCAGGACTAGATGAAAGTCAAGGGAGAGAGAGACTACTAATGCACTGTATGATAGCCCTACCCTCTTTTGCTTCTTCACACTTGCTGTCATTTGTGTTGGATTGATTACAGGCTTGTAATGATGTACAGTGTTGGCACCGGAGGGGGGTGTCTGTACATGTTACACAATAGAGGGAAATTAATCATAAGCGAGTTGTATTTCTCAATGTCAAAATAATTTGTATTGATACACTTTTGCAGATTCATCCTCGGAGAAGGGAACCCATCGCTGACAGCCTGTGACCTGGAGAAGTGTAGACCAAAGGCTGCAAGCTAGTCTTGGAACTTCATTATTCTGTTTTGTTCTGGTTTTTTTGCCCCTAGCTCCTTATCTCTTCAGTGCATGTTATTTATGCCTCGTGAAATCCCTGCGAGGACAATAGAAAAGCAGATCATACAGGCTAGTGATCCTCATGATCCAGTTAAACTCTGCTGGGAAGCGTTACTGCCCTTTGTTCTGAAGATGCTGTTTGTGCTGCCTATGAGAATCTGTTAAAAAGCCTTATGAGAAAAGATGCAGCTATTGCTGGGGATTCAGAGGCAGTCACATCTGGTTTGAATTCAAGAGCTTATAAGCCCAATAGTTTTGTGATATTTTTTTGTTTGAGAATTGTAGTCTTTCTTATTTGATTCCAGGGAATGATTCGTTGATATACCATCTTGAATTCTGTACTGTTTTTCTTGATTGTTTGGTAAAAAGGGAAATCTGCTTCACTGTTTTAACACATTTGTGTAATTGTAAGTAGGGTACCGCTGATACCAGGCCAGGTAGAAGGTGCCTACTTGCCTTTTTGAGTCAAGGCCAGCTCGTGTGAATCCTTTCTCCAGCTCTCTTTGTTTTGGCTCCAAAATGATATGAAAAACGTAATCACAGTTTTTCTGTGTGTACTTGTTTGTATCAGAAGAATTTTAGTAGGAATACTCAATGGGTTTAACTTCTCAGTGAAAATCTCCAAATGATTCTTGTAATGAATCTGAACATCGTTGTGTAACCTCTAACCTGAGAATAAAACCTGGCTTTTTAAATGAAATGGTATTTAAACCATGAAATTTTTTCAGAAAATTGTGGTGAATGGATGTTCAGCAAACATTACCTGATAATCTACTTGCAAGATTGTCTCTTCCCTTCAGGCAGGTACCCGAACCCGATGGGATCCCACCTGAAAGAAGGAACTGAGTTTTTTGTACCATAGGGCCGCATGAGATGTCCTGTGTGCTTTTCTTATAGCTCGGTAGTAGTTAATGTGAGTTTAAGTTCCCACACAAACGGCTTTTTGAGCTGTACGAAGACAGAGTCATCAGAGATCGCCTGCATGTGTCTTTGCTGCTTTTAGAACAGGTATTTGCATTCCCATCAATATACAAAGGCCTGTGCATTAAAATAACAACCTTATAGGATTAAACATGTTCAGCACTTGATTTTGGACACAATAGGGAATAGCCCATGGGAAAGGATTTTTCTGCTGTTACATTTTACAGCAATGCTGCTTTTGCCCACACTAATCAAAGAAACGACACTCCGAACTTATAATATGGACTCAGGAAGAACACAAGCAAAGCACCGAACAAATCGGCCTCTGGAGAGAAATTGCTTTTTCATGAGCTATTGAAAATTAGAGTCTGATTGCAACATTAGCTACAGAATAAACTCCTGAGTCTCTGTTAGAGAGAGAGGAGTGTTTATCTCTGCATGAATTTGGAGCTGGCTTACAGACACTATAGCAGCAGATAATTTAACCAGCAAACAATATAACCACACTACTCCTGATTAGTGATTTGGCTAAGGGTGAGATCATGGAAAATGCTAATGTGGTGCCTTCGGAAAATCCAATTATAATGTAACCTAATTCAATGCGAGCTCTCAGCAGGTGACCAGTGCTGTGGGCAGAGCACCCCGCACTCAAAGATGTCGTGAATCCTCAGAACAGACGAGCTTCTGTGTGGTTGGTGTGGGAGGCAACAAACCCCCGTTTCATTCATTTCCACTGTTTTCCCCAACTAACCGCGAAGGTTTGCGCCTTCCATTTGTGGCGCTTAACTCATTATCTGACAACTTGTGCAAGCATTATCTGGCCCAAGCGGATGATTCAACGTGAGCCATTCATAGTCAGAAAATAGAGTTTGCAGGGCTATCTTTTGGTTTTTTTCCTCTGTTTAGTCACAGGCTTTTAATGTTTGGCTGGCTTGGGCACAAGACTGTAAACCTTGACTCACACAGATTCTAATCATGCTAAGTGTGGAGTATTCCTTGTATTATATGATAGAGAACTTGTATCTTTTAATATGCATGTAAAATGCCTGTACAGTTGATTTTCCTCTTGATTTTCTTGTAATGATGTATGTTTCCCAAATGCAGGTGCTGTCATCTATTTGAATTAGCCTTGTCAGACTCAAACACCCCCAAAGGATACACTTTCTGCAATGACCCAGACAAGTTTGAGGGGGTGAGTTATTTTAGATAAAATCAACCATAGTACTCATAACAGGCATTTTTCCTTCCCCGAGCTTTGCCGAAACTGGGCATCAGCACTCCCAGTTCTTCCTCTGGCCTTTTAAAGAACCTTCTGGCATTTCCTAATCTTTGTTACGTATTTTATTTTCCAAACACCTGCCCAATTTTCCATCTGTTTCTTCCTATTTAGCTTTCTCCGATAGTCTTGTGTATCAGTGGTGAGCAGACCAATTTCACAGTAAGGGCTGTAAATGTGTTTGTGAAAGGCCTTTTCTTTTTTCCTTCCTTTTCTTGTGGGAACTGCTCCGGGTTTGGGAATATTGGAATTACTATGCACGTTGCAAGAGAAGCAATTCATACACAGAGAGTAACTTTTATTTCATACTGGACCTGGCACTTATTCGAATACTTGAAGCTATGAGCTACACCCATAGTTTGTGCCCCCCCAATTTCCTCACTCACCGTGACTTGGGGAAACAAAACAAGCATAAAGTGATTTTCTGTCAAAACTTTTCAGCAGTTTAAGGGGTTATTTTCACTTGTCCAGCAGAAAGACCAATGTGACCTGGCCAGGTTTGTCCTGCATCGGTGCTGGCCAGTCTGCCCACCAGTCGAGATGTATCAGGAATGCTTGAATCGTATCCCTGTGCGACTGACTCAACAGCCATATTAAAAATGCTTACAAGGTAAGGTTAAACTTTTAGGTATACGGTAAGGAACTGACCCATAATGAAGCTGATTACTTAGCATGTTAAAATGATGGGGGAGGTCCAGGCGTTGGTCATGATCAGCCCTTGGAAAGCCTTGTTACTTCTGGTGGGAGCGCACGTGTTGACGTGTGTTTGTATGGATTCTGAATGACGAGTTATGACAGCTAATAGACACACAACATTTTATTAAATAACAGATCTGGGGGAACATTTTATGTATGTTTTGGCATGGGTTTCTGTAGACTTTTCTTCTAAACTGAACTTTTTCCACTTGGTTGCAGTGTTATATACTAAACGTTGTGGAGAAATTTTCATTTCTATGAATGAGAGCAAGTCTTCATCTGTCAAGTTAAATTATCTGCTTACAATATTATTTTACATTATTTTCAACACAATATGCTGGATTCACTAAATGATGTTTTGATTACCATAACAGCAATTATCCAACATTAAAATAGGAGCACCTTTGAACTCTTGGAGTCATTAACACAAATGAGGTACGTAAAAGCTTGGGGTCTTTGAGGAAGTTTTGTCCCATTCTTTATTTTTCCTCTGTGTGTGTCTCTTTTTTTTGTTGTTGTTTTGTTTTTTTGTTTGTTCGTTTCCCTTGTGGAGCTAGCAGATGTGACACCAGCATTTTGCTGACTTGAAGTTTTTTATTTTGATTCACCACTGTTTTACTTCCCAGGTATTTTAAGCTCTGTGCCTTGTCAAAAATATATGCTGTTTTAAAACTGTCTTTTTCTTCTGAAGGCCTGAAGTGCTATTGGTGACAGTCAGGCCAATGCTTATTCTGTTCTATTTCTATAGATATTTCTTTCTACTCTTATACTTACATAATGTGTGGCATGATATGAAGATTTCATTGGTGATAAGTAAGTTGTTTGTCTTTATAAATCACTAAATGGCATTGCTCCTTAGTCTCAGGCTGTCATTTGTTTTAGGAAGGAAAAGTTGTTACTTAGAAATTGCTGGTAAAAGCTGGGAGCTGTTTGAATTGCCTCAGAAACTCTGGATACAAGAGGGAGTGGATTCTTGATAATGCTGTAGGCAAAGCACGTGGAGTGCCCCAAATACACACCTATGCTACCCTATAATACAAAAGCTAGATATCACAGCTGAGGATGATTTGATAGATTACAAGCAAAATCCTGGATCATGTTACTTTCCTCTGGGAACGCAGCTTTACCCTAATGAACTGGAAATTCTGCCTTGCCCATACCACCCTGTGTTGAGATTAGAGAGTATTTCTAATCAGGTTGAAGTTCTCTCTCTTGTTTAAAAAAAAAATCCTGAAGTTTTAAAAATGGTTTCTGTGTTTTAACTTTGTTGTGAGAATAACAGAAGAATTTCTCTGATTTTTGCAGATGCAAGTTTAAAGGTCTGCAAGACACCACAGGGTGGAAAGTATTTTTTTGATTAATAAAACATTTCCCACCAGGAGCCAGGATGCTGGCTAATGCTGTGTTTTCACTTACGGCAGCAACAGCCTTGCTTCCACCTGCCCTATAAATGGGGAATACCCAGGTGCTTCCTGTTGAAGGGCTGCTTACGCGAGAGCAAAGGGTCCATGCTGGCCACCGACCATGAAATGGGCTGGTGGTGGTGAGAGCAGGGCTGAGGGCAATGAGGGCAGGCAGGTAGGGTATGTGGTGGGGCACCGTTCCTGATACAATCTGTTGATCGCTGTAGGAGTTAAGATCTTGCAAGGCTGAGACCACAGATTGCAACTTTGTTGCTCTAATGGGATGTATCAGACCAAGGGGGGTCTGGAGCTCTTCCCATGGCCAACGGAAAGGATTTGGAGAAGGGAAATCTCGTGGAGCGAAAGCAGGATGTGTGCTCCTAATGTTTGTATCGCATGACCTGATGAAGAGAGAAGTCACAGCTTTGACGAAGGGTAAAGCCCCTTTGTTGGCATTTTCATCATCAGGTTGGTTTCTTTCATTTAATTATTTGATTTAGTTGAGAAGAGAGAGGGAGATGTTTTAATTTCCTTGGAGGAAGTTTTCATTTTGTGCCTTCCTGTGTTCAGGCACCGTGTATCTCAGCTCTTAGTCGTGTAAATCCC